GTGGGAGCGACCTGACGTGCTGACAGTGAGGGGGCGGGGCTACAGGCGACGCACCTGAGGTGTCGGGTGTCGGGTGTCGCTGCTGCCTGGTATCGGTTCACTCAGGTTAATGTTACTTATCACTACTACAATCAGTGTGGAATGTAAGTAAGTACATTTACTCAACTACTGTACCCAATTCTATTTGGCTATAATAATATTAACCTATATTTTAGTAATTCTTCAACCATGGTCCTTTTTGGTCTGAACAATTTTATAAAATCTGACACCTTTACAGAGAAATATATTGATACCGTATTTTTTGCAGCCTAGTATAACACTGGTATTGCCATTTCCATTTTTTTTTAAAAAATCTTGCTATTGTCTGTTTTAGCTTTAGCTTGAAATGTAGCCTGAACAAAATACACAATATAAAATCTTGTTTTTCTTATTATTTGTACATTCAAAGAAAATACAAGCTGTTTGGAAATGACGGTCATTAAATATATTCTGTATTTTTACAACAATTGACCTGGATTTTTTCTTATTTCAGTACCCACCATGGAGCCAGCTGTCCTCCATGTGCTCTCCTGTCATATGACTGTTGCTATGGTTTCCGCAGAAAAAAACACACCCTAAATGAACATGTAACCACAGGAAACAGGTGTTCTTTTCATGAATAAACACAATAGGTTACATTTCAGTAAAGCTATTTATGTGTCTTTTCTATTTGTATTTGAAGTTATTATTCAATTTGTTTCAATTTTATTTATAGATCCCAAAATCACAAATAACACTTTGCCTCAGAGGGCTTTACAGCATACGACATCCCTCTGTCCTTTGCACCCTCACAGCGGATAAGGAAAAACTCCCCCTTAAAACCTTTTAATGGATTAACATTACATTTAAAACCAAGCAGGGTTGAATGTCCTAAATATATTTTCTATATATATATAAAATGGTGGTGGTGTGTCTTCCTCAAGCCTGGGTCCTCTGCCAGAGGCCTGGGAGTTTGAGGATTCTGCCATATATCTTAGCTGTTCCTAGGACTGCACTCTTCTGGACAGAGACCTCAGATGTTTTACCTGGAATCTGCTGGAGCCAGTCTCCCAGTTTGGGGGTCACAGCCACAAGTGCTCCAGTTACCACTGGCACCACTGTTGTCTTTACTCCCCACAAGTTTTCTAGCTCTACTTTCAGCCCTTGGTATTTTTTTCGAGCTTCTCGTGTTCTGTCTTCCTGATGTTGCTGTCGCTCAAGATTGCAACATCTATCATCACTGCCCACGATGTCCGCTTGGTTGGTCATCATCACTTTGTCAGTCTGGATCTGGAAGTCCAGACAATATCTATATACATAAGAAACGTGGTTTTGTGCTTCTTATTTCTGACAGAGACACAAAATTATGATAACTAATGTTAGCTTGACGTAAAAATAGGTAACGCTAGCTAACCTAAGTTAGCTAGGTGATGCTAAGTAACTCTGATGTCAGTAGGTTAAATACAAGGCGCAAGGCTACAGTGCAGACAACAGCGAGTTAGCTTAGCACAAAGAACCAAGGGAAACCAAGCGGCAACCTTCAGGACTGAAAAATAAAGCCAAAATCTAAGTGCCAAAAACTCTTCTTCTTCGAACAGCCACTTGAGGGTGGCTACAAAAGTGAGTCAATCCTCACAGAGCCGCATGTTAAAATGACTTTACAGCAGAAATAAACATGTTTACAGCCCGGTACAAAAAGGTTTTGGTCTTTTTAGCTAATTTTACCCATCAAGACAACTGTACAGGGGTTGACATTTTATATAACTCACCCATTTACATTTTATTAAGGCTTAAAGTTACACATAATTAAGGGCAAGCTGCTTTGAGTTACAGGCTGTCTGCCGATAGAGTCCTCAGCTTCTCAGCCAGATCCATCCCTCGTTCCTCCACAGCTTCAGCCTCTTGTTCAAACATGGTCACTTGTGGACCTCTGGCTCCAAAAAAACAAAAGAAGATGTTGACAGCCTTAATGCCAAACTCGAGGCTTCAAAACGGGAATTCACAAACCACTGGGTGACATCAGCCTTGTCCAGTGTTTATACAGTCTACGAGTGAAACATTAGCAAGGCTCCGTTAAACTGCGATAAAATCTGCTTAACAGCATCTCTAAAGCTCCACAATTAACATAATCATCATCATAAACACACCTAACTTGTCAGAGGAACAGACAAAGTTGACATTGACCTACTTGTGTGTATCAGTATTTAATTTAGATTTTGCACAAGTGACTTTAGTGACCATTTAAGATATGTAGAGTCTTCAAATGTTTGTAAATGCAACCACACACTTTGTAACACCTGGTGATGGGTAAGTAAAACACAACTTTAGGAGTCAGTAGTTGCCGACATGATCAGCTTTCCACCCTGGATCACAGCACCGCCCTCTTTGGCCTGACTTGTAAGAGGAAACTGCAGGCAGACATAAAAGGCAGGTCCCACCAGGTGTGTGTTTCCAGGGAAAGGAGCCAGTTGCTGTCTGTACACAGGCTGTGAAGTGTTATTAGATCTACTTTTATTGCCATGAATTTTCCCAACAATTACTTCCTGGCATTGATAATAGTCTGCTTTTATTTGGCTGAAGGCCTCCACATTTGCACTTTGTGTTGTTGGCACTGTGCTGAGAGCAAAGACTACCTTTTATTCTATCCTGTTCAACTGAATACAGTTTTTAATATGTCATAAAATCATTATCTTTCCTAAGGAACGATATGTCGTGGAAGTCACCATTCATGCTTCCACTGTTCCCTCTTTGACTACAAGAGATTCCTGACGTCCAGAGAGCGTGTGAGGAGCTTCACTTTGGTCAGCTATACTTCATCCTGCATGGGCCTGTCTGCGCCGGGAGCTGTGGTGTCAGGAAGGAATGTTTAATTATGTTACTTCAAAACAAAACTGAATTACTGGGTGAGGGTTCACTGTCAGTGTGTCAGTGGTACCTGTGGATAAAGTGCAGGTTTGGCTTGTGAACATCCACCATTTAAAAGAACAGTGTATAAGATTTATAGGGATTTAGTGGCATTTAGCGGTGACAACTACAGATTGCAACAAGATGAAGCTGCTCCCGGTTAGGATTCTGGACTGGAGGACGGACAATTCTTTTCTCTAGTACTGCCGATGAGAGAAATTGAATTGTTATTTCTTCTTCGTGTCTCACTAGAGCTACGTATCGGGTAGTGACAGCAACACTGCCCCCATGGTTCCCGGTGGTACTGCTCCGTTTGGCCCGTATCCGTAAGCTTTATGGAAACATGCAGAAATACGGACGAAATGAACGCAGAGCACGGACAGAAGGCTCTCTCCGTATCCGGATCCGTATTTAATGTTGAGCCCTTACACGTCCACACAGATAAACAGTGACCAAAGTCAGTGTGCTGCTCTTGTGCTTCTTTCAAAATTCCTTTGTGCTTCCTCAGAGCTAAGTTAGTTTTCCAAATTGAATTTAGTATGATTAAACTAAATCCCCAGTAACATTAAACAAAAACCTTATCAGCTACTACAGGGGTAGCGAGTTAACTTGCTGCATAGGTTGGTTATACTACAAAGTAAGCTCCCCAGTAGTCTAAAATATTAGTGAGTTAGCTTGCTAACTAGGAAAGCTGTGCTAACGAATAAGTCTGCCAATAGGCTGGAATATTAACAAGTTAGCTTGCTAACTAGGAAGGCTATGCCAATGGAATAAGCTTACCAATAGCAAAGACAGTGAATAAGCGAGTTAGCTTGCTAACTAGGAAGGCTATGCTAACAAGTGAGTTTGCCAATAGACTAGAATGTTGTTCATTAACGAAGAGTAAGGATAATATCATTTTTCAGTTGCAAATACCTGTGATTAACACATTTTCCCTCCTTTTTGTAGCCTATTAAAGGTCTATCCTTACTCTTAAAGTTAGTGAACAATAGCCTATTTTAGCCTACTGGCAAGCTTACTCATTAGCATAGCCTATCTAGTTAGCAAGCTAACTTGCTAATATTCTAAGCTATTAGCCGACTTACTTGGTAGTATATCTAACCTACTTAGCAAGCTAACTTGCTAACCCCGCATTAGCTTACACGGTTTTTGTTTAATGTTTGAAGGATTTCGTTCAGCTTTACTAACATAATTGTTGAAAATTAAACTAGAAGCACAGGAGCAGCACACTGATGATGTCAGAGGGCTAGAATTGGTTGATTGCAATGTTGATCCAGGAATGCCATGGGATGTTGATCCAGGAGCATGTCCTACTTGGCAAAATCAGATTGTACTTTTGTCAGGCTAGTTTTCTGTCTCTGTCAGGTAGCAGTCCGTTAGTTATTTACTTTACAGCAGGAAACAGCACTTCAAAATAAAAGCTTTTAGCTGAAAATTCACTTTAATTCAAAGGAAAGTGTGTATTTTAACTTGCAGTCCATTCAGAATGGCCCTGTGACCCACTTTTAGACTGTGACCCACCAGTTGGGAACCACTGCTCTAAAGAAAACATACTTATTATATTAAAATTCTGTCAATATATCCCTCTAAATCCTACATACTGTACCTTTAAGACTTTAAGAATGATCAGTCAAACTATATGGGTCTTCTGAGGGGCCCTGCATTAGTGTAGAGTATGTTGAATCTGGCCCCAGAGTCAAAATGTAGTTTCACAGTCCCTGTCATCTGATACTGTGCAAACTGTTTCACTTAAAAACATCAGCCAATCACGTGGGACATTACAGGAGCTAATCCCTGCTGAGAACTGGGGGCAAACATTTTTACCCTGGGGCCCCGTAGCAGGTTAATCTAGTCATGACTCCGGAGCTATTTTTCAAAGGCTAAATGTCTTTTGATTCACACATAATGGCTCATCAGCTGCTGAGCGTTTCACTTTACACAGGCCGCCTTTTTTCTTTTGCTACGTCTAGAAACAGAGACAACTGACTCATTTGCCAAACAATGATCCTTGACAGTCGTGACATTTTGCCTCGTACACTGTGCATACAGTAGATTCAAATAAATGAAAACACAACAGATACAATTAGATTTTTCCCCTTTAATGTAATCTTTTCTCAAAAACAATCCAGTTCATGTCTTCAGATCACTTTCACATTTAACTTTTCTGTGCGTAATATTCATGTCAAAACGGTGAGACGTCTTAAGTTTGCTCTGGGTGAAATGCTCTAGATACATCCATGTGACGTTACAGTGTGTTCAGCAGCAGACAGTCAAGCTGTCCACATCCACTGGTAACTCAGTGGATGTGTGTGTCCAGGCTTGTCTTACATTTTTGCACTTGAGTACATACATTTCACGTGTGGGATTCTTATCCTCACTGCCATGCTTTACTCTTCATTCACAGATCAGCATAGACCCAAGCATCAAACAATAAGTGGGGGAGGGCGGTGTTTCAGGGGGAAACTGAGGTTTAAGTTAACTTGATGTTATTTTGATTGTAGTCTGGGATCGTCTGATATGCTCAGTGACGTGACAAGTGGATTTTAAAAACAGGATGCGGTAAAAAGAATAAGTGCCTGTGGTTCGTTAGTTATAATTTCAACAATAAAGGGTGCAGTCAATCTCTTTTTTTCACATTACAATGAGTTTATGAAACAATGTTTAAGATCTTTTTTTCTTCACAAAGAGTTTGGCCTAAAATTATGTATAATATAACATGACATCAACATTTTTCCACCTGAACACCAACATTTTAATTTGGCACATCATATTTTACCTTCATCAACCCACAACACACACTCACATGCATACATACATAAAGGTTTGAAGTGGTTGGAGGCCTTATTTTACCAGTTGATCCAGGCTGAAAGTTTATGACAGCTGAATTTATGTGTCAAAGTTTATGATACTGCAGATAAGACATAATACAGCATAAGTCCGGGTCACAAACTTATGTGAGGAAATTGGAATAAGCAATTAAATAAACATTTGTCAGTAAAAGTGTTTGACAAAAGCCTCCCAAACATCCCTGTCCTACTTTTATTTTCTAAAACTCTTGTAAAAACCCAAATTGTAGAATTCATGTCTATATTCATTAATACTCAGTCTTGTGTATCACAAGATTAGCAAGATGCTATATATATTTTGTAAAAAAGAACAAAAAATGCTTTTAGTTTACCCAACATCGCTAAAATTTTAAAGATCCAGTCTGTCATTTTTTTGCCAATCTAAAGTTTCGGTTAACTTCTACGCTTGCCTGACACTGATATCACCAGATTGTGATTAAAAATGCTTTTATTCAACCGTCTCTACTTCATACCAACCAACCTTCACATCCTAAACCCGTGGCACATTGTCATCAATACAAATATACACATACTGTTCTCAGTGGGTTTTCTACACATTTGTTTTTTTTTTCTGCCTTTTGTACATTGTTAAAAAATATATAAAATATTAAGAGAAATTGTACAGGTACATTCAGGTTAAAAACACGTTTCTCTTCAAAGCTGCATTTACAAATCTCTGTACGGTTATTCGTTGTCATTCAGCTGTCAGCACAGGAGTGAGCGGGTGTCTCTTTTCAATGAGCGAAAAATAATGATCTGAAATGTGACACTTTGATAGTTTGAGCCATTTTTGTTTGGATTTCTTTTGTTATATTCAAAATGTAGATGTTTTATTGAGAATATTTTTGAGGGAGTATATATTCTAAATATATTCGTGAAGCTGACGAGAAACGTGGAAACAGAAAGGCTGGGATGACCTAGACACACCGCCGACGTGGTATGCCTTTTAGACCTTATGATGCACCCATAATCTTGCTTTTTTAGCAACAACCAAAAAACTATTAAGAAATATTGACATATTTATATTAAAACTGCATTACGTTTGTTTCTTGAACCAGTAAAAGCTGCAATGGCTATTTTTTTGATAATTTATAGTCATAGATTAATAACAATAAGTCAGCAGATTAATCCATGATGAAAATAATTGTTAGTTGCAGCCCTAGTTGCAAGTAATCTTAGGCCAGTGATATACTTGCTTTTAAACCACACATAATGTGAACTGTTCACATACGTGCCTACGTAGAAAAGGGGTTTCTGGAAGATTCCACTAGAGGGCACCCCAGAGAACTCAGACCATACAGCACTTCGAGTTTTGCGTGATGCTAACGATAAACACTCGAGGAGGTAACTATTGTTAATTCTGAGCTCTTGGCAGAAAAGGCGCCATCGTACAAAAGGTCTGACGCAACCGGGAGCCCCATTTGTTCAGCTAGCACTAGAGCCTTTCCGAGAGGGTTGGGTCCACAGGTTGGACGAACAACCACGACTTTTCAATATCGTAAATAAGCAAATGGACATTGTATGATAATCATCAATTTTCATATCATGGTATACCTTAAAACTAGTATATCACTGCAACCCTACTCAAGACAACTGCCGGCCAAGCTGGCTACTTTCGGTTTAGTTTAATCTTGCAGCTATTCCAGACTTTCCAAAGGTTATCGGACCAAATGGATCAAGTCCTGATAGTGGAATGAGTCATTTTGCGAGGGACGCTCAAACAAATGTATCCACCGATTAACAGGCATTTCTTTCCCAGTGTAGGTCTATCAGAAAAAGTCTTTCTGGGCCCACTGGCATTACATGCCAGACTCAGGAGTTGTAGTTACAATGTTTGGCCACTACAAAATTTGGTCTCGAAACCTGACGCTGTTCCTTGGGACCTGGGGTCTCATTTATAAACATTCTGTGCGTACAAAACAAGGCCTGAAAGAGGCGCACGTCACTTCCCACACAAAAGTTGTGATGGAGAAACTCTGACCCATGCTTACGAACATTTTGGAGACGGGAAATTGGTGATGCCTGATTGTATGAAATTGTCAAATATTTTTTGGTGCATACCATTTTTGGCTTTTGTTCATACGTACATTTTTTGTATGGATCCTACGCATTGTTTTAGAAATGAGACCCCTGGACCTATTGCCTGTCCAATGGGCTGTCCTCGCCCTAACCATTTGAGGTCAATGCCTAACCCCAACCATCTCTGCACATGCCTAGAACAAATCAGGTCTCCAGTTCGTATGAAGGCAGCAACAAGGATCCTAAATCAAGAACATACTCACATCATCACGTACTGCGCCCACTGTGTGGACGCATAGCATTAATTTCAGAGGACGCAGGACAGATGCAGAATATGCCAGGCAGCTGTCATGGGCATGGAGTGCATAATCAAAGGCAAGTATATCTCTGGCTTTAGTTACAAGCAGACGGTGGAAAAACAATCATCGCATTCATGAAAATTATTTCTGGTGGCCGGTGTTACCAGATTGCCTTGTAGCACTATGAGACGTGATAAAACAGCTGGACGTTAATTTGAAGAGCAGTCATCCGTGATTATTTTCATTTAAAGAAAATCTACCTTAAATTAAGGTGACCCTAGCAGCACGTAATACCTAAGGCAAACATGTACTTTACATCATTGAATACTTTCACTTTGACAGTGTGGGAAACAGGAACAAAGGTATGTGACTTTAAACAGTCAACAGACCAGTTTGTTGGATCAGTCAAGGTTAGTGTTAGCGGCGTCCTAACTTTGTGGTCATTGGCTGAAGTTTCAAAGAGTCGTGTGAAAGGTTATCGAACATAGCAGCATGACTCAGATCCAGTTTACTGACGTATCAACTCACTGACAGCTGGTGCTGACCTGCAAGGTGAACACTTTTGACCTTTGACCCTGCCATTTAGGAACACAAGCCATTTCTGGAATGACATTTTCCACTGTAGCATTTTCACTTTACTTACCATTATCTTAACACCATTATCCAATTTTGATAGGAATCATTTATCATGTTAGGCCAATTTAAAGTTTAGAAAAATGTTAATAAGTGATGATTACATCAAAATGAAACAGATGAGAACCTTGAGATGTATTACTGCTCAGGTGTCTTTTTTGAATCGAGATCCATGTAGTAGAATATATCATCATAGGTTGATGACTAAAACCTTAAGTCTGGAAACATTCCCCACATGGACGTGCTTTGGGGTCAATTACTCTTTTATTGACTAGAAAGCATATCCATTCTACTAAAAACAAAATAAAAATGACCGTTAGTGAAGTAAAACGACCCGAATACAACATTCATACAAAGTTTCTGTAAGGCATTCCTTCACCAGGTCATCGACGCCAGCTGAGTCTGCAGCTTCCTCTTCCCAAGCTTCAGCTCATCAGTTTTGTGTTTGCCAGCAAAAGAAAAAAAGAGTTCTTGAGATATCCACAGTTTTCCTGTCAGAGACTTCTCCCGCTCCGTCACATGAGTCTTGAACACAGTTCTGGTGATGGCTTTGGTCTGTCCTGCAGCTAAGACTAAAAATTATACATACAGGAGAGCCGGAGCTCTGAAAGAAGTCATTAGATTCATGCAAGACTGTACAGACTTTCAGTGGGCTGTCCGGGGCCGGACAGGACGTGAGGTTTAGGTGCAGTCCTATCTGCAGGAGGAGCCCAGCACGTTGCCCGTTGAGGGCGTGGTGGCGGTGGCGCTGTAGTGTGGGTAGTTGTCGTTTGGCGGTGGGCTCGGGAGGATGGAGTTTCCGTTGGTTGGGGAGCAGTTGAGCTGGAGCCTCCGCAAGTACTCAGCATGGACGGGTTTGTGGCTCTGCAGCACTTTGATGGCCTCGTCCACGGTGAACCACTCCCGCTTACGACCTGCAGAGGGAGACAGAGCACAATGTATGAGTTCAAAGGAAGCTTTCATGTTGGGTCTTCACAGAGGAACTCCAAAGCCCTAACACACACACATCCTATCAATTTTACATTATTATACATATGATACACTTCTGTTCTCTTGCACATGTTAATCTCCCAGTGTATCAAAGCCATTTCTTCTAGCATATTACCAATAAAGATAAAGGAAATCATGAGCCTCAACATTTTCCTCTCTATCAGTAACAGTTTCACTGTAATAACTGGAATAGAGAAGTGTAATGTGACGCAGTACTGAAGCATTCTGCTGCAAACTACCGCAACAAACAGTGTGTATTTAAATGTCACCCTCAGCTGATTGGTTGTTCCAGTTAGCAAGATTATTAGTATGATATGCACATGAAGGCATGGCACATGTATACTGACAAATATGCGTGCATAACAGGGCTGGGCAATGTGGAGAAAATCAAATGTCATGATATTTTTGACTCCTTGATATCGAATCAAAATTTGATCCTTGATGATAATATTTGATGGAAAATGAACACTGAAATTTGTCTTATTGATCCAAAAAATGTTTTACAGTTAGAGTCTTGCTTTAAAAATCATACTACAGATTTGGATTACGCTAATATTGTTTATCAAAATGGTTCTTTAAGTCATTTTCTCACCCTTAATGCAGCCTACAGAAGCCTTAGTAGATGTGTCCTCAGATGTCCTTTCCTTAGTCATCATTGTGAAATGTATGATAGACTCAACTGGCCTTCTCCAAGTACAAAAGACACATTTAGGTTTTTTTTGTACCTCATACAAATTATCAGTGGAGGCACTCTGCTTAGCTTTTTTTCTGTATTCCCGCAGCTACAAAAGAAAATGAAAAAAACAAGCTTTTATGTTCAAGTCTGCCTCCGACTGGAATAATTTACCTTCTAATATTTGATCTGTGACATCATTTCATAGTTTTACGGATCTCCTAATATGAACGCCTCGAAATTGAGATGATCCACCTCAAGGGGCACACCGGCAAATAACAGAACAGATAGAAAAGTCTGGCTAGGACAGACAAACCACTGCGAACAGCCTTCAAAACCAAATTAAGACAGCACTTATGATATCCAAAATCTAAAACCATATCTAGTCCAGTGTCACAGCATTGAAATAATATCCATAAACAGCCCAGCCCTACTAAATATAGTAGAAAACAGTAAATGTAAGAGGCTGTGGCAGGTAGCTGATGCTCTTCACAGTGTGTCATCCAGGCTACTGACAGCTGTAATATACTGCAGCTCTGAACCACTGCAGCTACGATCAGTGGCCTAGATTTACAGGCATCTGTTGTCCCTGCATACCCCAATGCCCATATAGTCTCCACACAGTATACTGGCCTTCACATAAATAAAAACAGCGTACTGTAAAAGGTGAGCCAGCCCTGCGCAGAGCGAGAAGAAAAACACACCGCAGCATCTGCAAGCATTCACGAGAAGGCGAAAAGGAAACTGTACCTATGTTGACGGAGTCCTCCCAGGCCTCCAGTGTTTCTGTGACGGTCAAGACATACACATAGGTCCGGTGCTTCCGATCCTGGTTTTGCTTTAGGGATCAGAAGGACAGAGAACTGAGTATTTAAACAAATCTAAATATTACATAGAAATGATACATTGGATGCTTATGGGTTGCAAAAGGTTAAAGTGTGAGATAAAACCGTGAGAGCTTACCTCAAACACGCCGAGCAGACGTCCTAGCTTGCCCTTCACACCGGCCTGAGGAATAAATGGAGAAAAGGTGTTTTAAAATGTTTTTCTGACTCCAGTGTACGAGACAAAGAGACAGCTGAGAACATTTCTTTGTGTGATTTTCTTAAAGTTATGACTACCCTCTAGTCAGTCACAGAGATGAATAGAGGGTGGAAACGTTTGAAAGGCAGTGTTCAAACCACAGACTGAATTCCGTGTCAAAACAATGGGTATTGTGTGTTGCGTTTTAAAGGACTCGACGAGCTGAACTCCACTGTAACCTCCCAGGCTGTGTTTTGATGTAGAAATGCTTGACAAACACAAAAAAACATTCAGAACTAAACTACAGAATAAATCTGTGCCCAGACTGAGATATTTTTGGAGTATATTTCTGTCCTCTGTGGTCTTACAGCGTCTTCAGTTTCGTAGAAACTGTCAGCCCAGCTTGTCGTTTCTTTTAAAGGTGTTGCGATTTCTGTGTGAAACCATGTATTGTTCAAGGACTACAGCAATTCTAAGAATAGGCGTCATTATCAAGTCTCAGAAATGACCCTTCGTCTGGGAAAAAAAAAACACCCTGGCATGAATCCTCATGGATGATTATTGTGGAAATGTAATTATGTCCCTTTCATAACACTTAACAGTTGCTTTATCAATCCACAGTGATCGAATTACTGCCAAGACATATGACATCTGTCCTTGCCCCCCTCTCCAGTCCCCTGCTCAGCATACTTCACAAGTGTCACACTCTCCCCCTGATGTGTCCAGCGGGTTGGGCTGCCGGGTCTGTGAATGCACAGGAATCCAGCGGGGAGCCAAGTTTAGACCGCTGACGTGGCTCAGAACACAAGGTTCTCAACCAGAGGGGACCTCTGGAATACCAGCGGTCTCCTCCGTCACCCAGCCACTGACACCCTGGCCCTTCAAAAATCTCGCCCTTCACATGCACACTGCAGCCAGCTGTACGAGCCACGCAACTTCTGGTCATTTCAGCGTGTTTTTTACTGGAAATGGACAGTGACGTGAGAGAGGCATTTATCGAAGACATTTTAGCAGTGACAATAATGAATGGAATACCTTCCCCTATCAAAAACATCGCAGCTGTAATGTCCTCAGCAGACGCTTATCACCCCAATGGCCTCTCAGAAAACACTGACCCATAATTTGTCAAAACACCCTCTGAGTTAAAATACACATTTTTGTTAAAATACACATTTTTAATTTACCTTACTTTACACAGATAAATGTGGGACTACTCTTTAAAAAGTCATGTTTTTTGGTTAAAACTATAGCAGAATGGGATGTTTTACGTAGCAAAATTATAGACTAATATTAAAAATGTGAGAATTATTGGACAAACCGTGGACAGTTGCAGGGACAGAGGACTTTTACAACAGCAGCTGTAACACCAACACATTTCCACAGAGCAAATTCTTTAATGCTTCTTTGAATACCTGTTCTACAACTAACAGGTGGATACAGGTTAAATGGACAGCTCACCCCAAAAATCAAAAACACATATTTTTCCTCTTGTCTTATTAAACCTGATCATTTTGGTGTGACTTGCTGTGTGTTGGAGATACCAGCCATAAAGCAGAGGTTGCCTTTTTTGTTGTCTGTCATTTTGACAGCTCCATCTCTGATTGATTGATCTCCATCTCTGGCGAGATCGGTGGAGGCATTTTGTTTTATCTCCAAGGTAACGGATATACAAAAGCGGGTCAAAGTTCCAGGTGTAATGTTATGAAGTAGTATGTCCCAGTTGTGTGCATACTGTGTACAACAGTGCATACTTTTTAGTACAGCTGCAGTACCTACTAAAAGCAAAAAGAAAAAGTATGAGACTCAGAACGCACGCCTTATTTCATGTAGCTCGGAGTTCGTTGAGACAATAGTTTTACTCTTTAATGGCTTGGTGTTGGATGTTAGCCGCTACCGCTGTGTTAGACATTGAACTGACCAGCCCTACATTTTTCTTTTACCTATTTTATCAATGCTGTCACAGTTATTGGGCTTTTAAAAATAGCTGCTGTGATATTTTGCATTGGCATGGAGTGATATAGCCTTCTGATGCGATGGCTAAAGCAGTGAGGTAACCAGAGGTAAACTCTTTGGCTAGAGTCGGCTAGACAACAAGGTCGTGTGTGCGAGGTCAAAGAAAGACTAGACAATAGATTATTAATATGGAATCGCCCCAACTGGACAAGGGTATGAATTACTTAAAGTTACAGTTTGATTTGGGGTTGGACTGTCCCTTTAAGCTAAAAAAGTCAAAAAGGCCTTTTCTGCTGCCTTCAACAGTCTACGAATTCTCCCTTTGCATTCCTATCACGTGTTCATTTTATGATCTAACTTTGAAGTTGAGAAACAAAATGAATTCTCCGTTTATTCACCTCCTCAAACACCTCTCGCACTGCAGCACCACATGGCTCCTCCTCTGGCTCCATCCCACCTCCGGGGACGATCCACTGGTCCGGGTGCCGACTGCTGCTGACCAGCAGAACCTAGAAGAGAGCACGGATGTTTTAAGAAACGCATTACATGTCAATTTGTTTATTTTACTGTGACATAAGGAAATGTGTCTTTCAGCGTGCCTATAGACAGAGGTAAACATGTTACATCAAGGGGAAGCAAGAAGTCCCTGCAGTCTCTATTAGATTTTTTGGTGAAAACATTCTAATGTTTTCAACCATTTTTTTGTTTCCTCTTTCTCAGAGGCGTCAAGCATCTGTCTGCTGTGCAAATGACATTTTGGGGATTTTTACAGCAAGCCGATGAGGCTCAATCAAAGTCGCTGTTGAAGTGCTTCCAACACAACATGATCCCGGCAAACAATGCATGTAAACCAAAGCATGAGCCGCTCAAATTCTGTCAGTGCTTCCCCGGGCAACCTGCGGGGCTTGAATTACACTACAGTTGCAGTGTACACTGATATGCTCGGATCAGATGTGCCTGGGTCTGCAGTTTCAGGTGGTATCCGTATAGCAACCACAACAGACAGAAGCACACCTGCTGCAAACATTATCACATTTGGATGGAGCAATTCGCTCATTACTAAAACAGCCTGTGACAGGACACGGATCGTAATAATATCAACAGCCAAGAAAAGCCAATGAAATAGGATTCAGGCACAGTCTTCTTGTCAGTGGTTCGTTTACTTCTGATTTAAGCACATTTTATGAATCTTAAGCTTGTGGTTGTCAGTTCAGAAATTATTTTAGATGACACAACCGTCAGTGAAGGTAAATATACAAGCATTACAGTAAGAAAAGTGTGTTAAGCAGCTTGTACAACATATGGTGACATTTACCTCTGCCACCCATCTGATCACCACCTGTAATCTGCCAGAGGAGTCAGTCTGTCACTTAATCCTAACTCTGCTTTTCTATATCTTCCCTTACGTTCTCTAATAGGATTGTGGCTGCTATGGCTACCAGAGGCCTTACGAGGCTCTTGTAAGAACCAGGGCCGAGGGCCAAACCGATTGGACGGCACATGCTCGGGGCTTTGACAGTGAGCGCTGTCGGCTGCTGTCTTTCTCACGTGCCCATTCGCCCAGCTCAGCCATCTGCTTCTTCCCAGATGATATAGGTCAGTGTGAAGGGCAGTGGGGTAGCTATACAGTGCGAATGTCAAGCATGGTGTTGTGGATTAAGTGTGTGCACGCTCAGTAAACATTTCCTGTACATGAAAAGGTTGTTATAAACACACACAACAGGTGTTAATACTATACAACAGGTGTATGTCTTATATAGTTTTACAGTAAGTGGCGTGTGTCAGAGGAAGGGGCATTTACAGTAAGAGTATAAACAGCACTGTTGCCGGACATGTTGTCTTCTCAGTGGAGTGCAGACTGTAAAAAAATGTGCAAAGTTGAACTTCGTAACCTGCTTGACGGAGCTCTTTGATGAAGAGGCTGGCCTTTGCCAGTGAGGTGAGCTAAAACAAACTGAACTTTCATCCTTAAAAACATCACAGTCTGAGAAAGGGGCACTTAATTCAACTACGAAAAATACATCAGGGTTTACTTGTCCTTCCTCTGAACGTGAATGTCACCTGCCAGAAGTCTTTTTTCTTTTTTTTTATGAGCTATTATTGTGTCATGTACTTCCATGCAGGATGGGCTATTTCAGTGGTACGGCATAATAAAAAATTCATTCCTTGTGTTGTGGATGTGTTTTGAGATCTCAGAGCACTCCACCCCACTGCCCTCGCTGTCTGATCGAGTGTGTCTGCGTGCTGAGCTGCAGCCAGCGAGGCTTAAAGGGAGATCACTGGTGTCAACATGTCCTAAGTCGAAACTGTGAGATGTATACAAAACATGAAGCCACAGAGCTTCCGGAGCAGTGAGGACAAAGCAGATCTGCTCTGGTTGTTCCATTTTTATCCTTTGTTTGTTGCCGCAGAGGGACTCTTAGTTGTCCATCCCCAGAATACAGTGCAGGCTACATTTAGTTTTGTTTTAATGAATTAAGGAATGTAGAGCACCGAATCAACATATTACAAACTGAGTATAATTGATTATTGGTTTCTTCACATGTGCTTCTGAGATGAATTTAACTACACGGTCATAAGAGGGAGCAGCAGGGGCCTGGTGTTGCCTTTGAGCTTTGCAAAGGGACATTTCAGCAAGACGAGACATTTGTCATCACAGCAAAATCAAGCCTGCGAGCCTCTGTTCATCTCTCAAAGCACCAAGTCACTTGGACAAGTTAGAGCCCCAGTAAATTTACGGAGAAGCAAGTACTTGAAGTTCATCAAGAGGTCAGTGATGTGAATGTCATAATAACAACCTTTCTGACGGCTGTATCCCACAGCCAAGTCAGACGAACCCCTTCAACATCAGACATGTTCCCTTGAACTGATTTTAAATTGGAAGTCATTTGATGCTCTTACTTACTTAAGTGTGGGTACACTACATTTTTCAATACAGTGAAGCTTTCAGCTAGTTCAGCTATTGATCCATTATTTAGATACTGTTTCAACCAGTTAGCCATTACTTTAAAGCTGTTGTTGGAAACTTTTATAAAAAATATTCTGATATCCACACAGTAATGTTCCTCCTCCTACTCCTCCTCCTCGTAGTACTTCTAATGGCATTTGCAAGAATCCACCACATTTTAACAAAAACAACCAATCAGAGCCGAGGAGTCTAGATGTCAATCACTGCTCGTAAACTGCGATCAAACCCTCAAACTAGGTAGCACTGATCAAATATGATTTAAGATTCTGTTACTGCATTGCCTATTTCTCACCTCACGTTTTCAGGAACATATTTTAGTGTACTGTATAGCTGTAAAATTAGACAGTTTGCTCCCGACAGTGGGCAGTGTTTTGTTTTCCACATGGTGGCCAGGTCACGTGTTCTCATTTTACAGCTTAACAGTACACTGAAATATGTTTCTAAAAACATCTGAGGCAAGAAAAAGGCAATGCAGTAACAGAATCTTGACTCATTTTTGATCAGCACTGCCCAGATTAACATTTTTACTGCAGTTCACAAGCACTGATTGAAATGACAGAAAGCTGTGTTAGAGACTCTTATGCTCTGCTTGGTTGTTTTCATTCATGTGCGGCATATTCTTGTAAATGCCATAAGAGCAGTACAATATTCTTTTCACAGACTATCTGTCACATGTACTGTTGTCAGGAAAAGTGATAGTTTTATCAAATGTGACAAAAAGTTGTTTGTACAAAGTTACAAACTGTAGCTTTAAGCTAGCAAACATTTTTGTCATTTACTTTCAATTGGTTATCCATTACTTTTTTTAACCATTTACAAATCACTTTTAGCTAACGTCACCTACAATCCAATTATTCTTTACTTTAATAACTACATATGTATCATTTTTAGCTAATGTTAACTATAAACCTGTTACTTTTAGCTAGAAACCACTTATGTATCACTTTATCTAACTATGAACCAGTTATCCTTTATTTTTAACTAACAACCATTTTTGTAGCACTTTTAGCTAAATATAAACCAGTTATCCTTTAGTTTTAGCTAACAACCATTTATGTATCACTTTGAGCTATGAACCTGTTATCCTTTACTTTTAACTAACAACCATTTATGTATCACTTTTTGCTAACTATAAACCAGTTATCCTTTGCTTTTAGCTAACAACCATTTATGTAGCCTATCACTTTTTGCTAACTATAAACCAGTTATCCTTTGCTTTTAGCTAACAACCATTTATGTAGCCTATCACTTTTTGCTAACTATAAACCAGTTATCCTTTACTTTTTGCTAACACCCATTCATGTATCACTAACAGACATTTGTGTTTTACTTTTACCTAAATGCCTCTGAACCATTTATTCACCAATTGTAGCTAACTATTAGGTAACTTTTTCAGTCTAACCATTTGAATTGTTAATTAATAACCTTTTAGGTATCAATTTTAACCATTTCTACCTTTGAGACAGCGTTTACTGTTTGGCTGGATCTGCTAACTCTCAATGTATAGTCCAGTTGTGGATATATATTGTGTAGTCAAATTGTATTTTCTGTCCAAACAGACACATATTGTATACTCTAGTCTTTCTGAACTCTCCTATAACTTTTGACAGACACAAGCACAGCGTTGCCTTAAACTCCATAGAAGCATGATGAAAAACCAAAACAAAATAACTCACACCGTCATGATACATATAGGTCAAGAGTCAGGTGACAGCTGAACTCTGGGCATAGGAAACCCACTTATATTTGGCAAAGGAAGGCAGGGTGAAGGAGAAACACTAGAGGGAACACTGCTGTGTTTCCCCGTGACATTTCACTGGTTTGCAACTGACAACCATCCACAGGGCCCCCCAGTGTGAATAAGGAGGGCAAATTCTGAGGTGACATAGAGTAAATCTCCTCTGGGTCATGAAAGACTTTACAGATAAATGTCAGAGGCGTTAACTATCTCTTATCCAAAAACTTATCTAACAATGTAATGTCAGGCAAGAACAAGCTTCAGTTCCTGGATGATGGCATGCCATAAGCAAAACACAAAGGTCAAAAAGTAACTGATTTAGAAAAGATGATCAGTCATTCTTGATTCAATATCTCAATCTGAGATAGCAGAACCAACATTGGTAGTAAAACACAGGCTGTGACAGTGAATCCTCTGGCATGGCCTTAAACAGGCACAGCAGGCAGGGATATTCTGGAGGACATTAACACCTCCTCCTCCTCCCTGAGGAGGAATGCTTGTAGCTGTCAAATAAAGAAGGCTCCAAATGCCAGGCCAGGCCGGGTGCCGGGAGGAGAGCATGATGAAGTCTAAGACACTCAAGCATACAAGTGCAAGGGAAGAATCAATACTGCTAAGACAGTAATATAGTCGGCACATTATACAGGTATCAACAAATAGGAGAAAAGTAAAGAGGGACTGTCAGAGACAAACAGCAGGGCAAGCAAAGACAGAGAGAGCCCGAACGCCTACATCTCTGACTTTCTGCTGAAGCATTCACTAACACTGATAACCTCCCCCTCCGTTTCCCCATATGACATTAT